TGAACGGTTTCATGGAGCTTGATATTGGAAAATATCAACGGTTTCATGGAGCTTGATATTGGAAAATATGAACGGTTTCATGGAGCTTGATATTGGATAATATCAACGGTTTCATGGAGCTTGATATTGGAAAATATCAACGGTTTCTATTACACTAGTTATTATTAAATATGGAAACGGAGTTTCTTGCTATTTAGAAACACAAAATTTTGATTTTTTAGGTTTCTTAATGGCTGTTGCTATTTTTACTAGTTTACAAGTAGCTTATTTTTGAAAAACTGGATGGTTTACAGTGAGCTTTGTATCGAAAAAGTATGGTTTTAAAGTCGTTTAAACATTTAAAATGTTAACATTTTTTTAATAACCGTTGCTATTCTTACTTATTTCAAAGTAACTTATTTTGAATTACAGTAAGCTTAGTACTGAAAAAAAATACATGTTTCTTAATGACTTAAACATTTAAAATATTAACGGCTTCCAAATCACTCCCCTCCCCAGTGGCTTAGCGGTAAATAACTAACAAAACAAATCACTGTTGTCATTTTCACTTGCATTCAATCATCAAATGTTCAGCAAATGTGATGTTTCCAGTTATCACCTATTGATATATAATGTGCCTTAATTCACACGAAGATTAGGGTTGTTGTTCGACGATATAACAAAGAGGTTATAATAATGTAGCTCAAGTATAGTCCAGTGTTGTCCACTCGCCACATGTGGCGGGGAATCGATGCTCTTAATTTATTATATATTTTCTCAAAAATATTCGAAATCTACTTGGTTTTTTACGTTACCGTATTTTACTGTATGTATCAGTCTTTGTTGCTGATGGTTTAAAATCTCAAACCTATGTTCAAGATACTGCGCATTATATTGTTGATATGGCATATATTTTGTATCATGTGGCGAATATGGTGACCCGATCAGCAAAAGTTTGGCCACCCCTGGTCTCACACGTCTCACTGAGGAGTTAATTCTACTTTTCTGATGTTCTAACTCCCCATGATTGTTTTTTGCAGGCAAGGTTGTCTTGAATTCCCCCGTCGTGGCTATAGAACAAGATTCCATGGGAGTCGTGGCTCGAACTTTGGATGGGAGAGAGTATAAAGTAGATAATTTTTCTTATTGCCTTAAACTACCGTAACTTATATATATATGCATGTATATATTTGCTTTGTGTGTGTGAAAATGTAGTTTCAGATAGCTATTCGTTATGACGTAGTGATGTTTAGTACATACGTAATTAAAGTTAACTGAGTGTACGTCATCAGAACAAGGCAGAAACTGTGTTCTGCTTGTTTTTCAAAGTAAAAAAACAAGAGGAATCCTCAATAGCCGCGGCAGTTGAAATTCTTTTAGGCAGGATTTGAGTAAATTAATATATGAGACCTTTTGTTCCTTTTTGTTTGCTATATTTTATTGTGCGCCAGCAATACCAAACGTAAGGCGCACATCTACCCGATTCGATTTTATTACTCATCAGGATTTCTACCAGTCTACGCTCAAATTGAAATTCGTTTTGGCAGGATTACAGTAAATTAATCTGTGACACCTTAGGCGTTGTCAAATATACCAATCGAAAGGGTTTGACATCCTGAGTCCAAAACTGTAATTAGATATCAAATCAGTCAAGAGATGACGGAGCAATGAGCTAAAAATTTCTTCTTGGTAAAAAAATCCAGAGCCATTTTATGAGCCGCTATGCCGCGGCTAAAAAATCAAACATTTTTACTTTGTGAAATGGCCTCTTGACATAAATAGTTATTATGCTACATTAAAACTAATTCTAGTTTGAATACTAAAAAAAAACATTTATTTAAATGATTTGCCAATTCGCAGTCAGATAAAACAGTAAAGCATGAATAAAATTGAAGAGCGTTTTATCATTTGAAAGTTAGAAAATTATAAGAATTTTGTAATAAATAGATAAATAAATTATTTTACTTGTAGGGGAGCTATATTATCCTAGCGGTCCCCCCGAGCCTCCAGATGAAAATCCACTTCACCCCATCACTCTCCCCCTTACGAAATCAGCTCCTACAACGAGCACCAATGGGAACTGTGATGAAGGTCATCGTTTACTACAAAAGAACTTTCTGGAGGGAAAAAGGTAATGGGAAGCTGATATTGTTAACAAAAAATATCAGCTTTAGAATAACATGAGCCGAACGTTCCCGAACTGTGAATCTGAGGATTTATGGTCAAGGCCCTTAGGCGCTCTGCAATTTGGGTGCACCGTAAGAGTGATGGTCAAATATCACTATTTGATCACCACATCAGCCCAAGAATTGGCGATAGGTGCTGTGGACTAGGTTCCTTCTCTCTAGTCTTATCAGTTCAAATAGGGACTATGTTTAGATAGTCCTCGTGTAGTTCTGCGTGAAAATCTTAGATAAACAACTCTACAGAACAACAGTCTGATAAAATTGGTTCTTTACTCTTGACGCATGCCTAGAATACGGGTTTCTATGAGAAAGAAACGTTTCCACGTGAGATCTAAAATGTCCTAAACAATGCATCTATTCATTGACTGAAATGGTTCTTAAAAAACTGTGTTAAATTGTATTTTCTCGTTTTTTATTATTTCAAAATGGTTTTCTGTTTGTTTTAGAACAAAGCAGTATTGGGCTATCTGCTGGGTCCACCGCGGGGGGTCGAACCCCAAATTTTAGCGTTGTAAGTCCATAAACTAACCACTGTCCCACCGGCGGGGGACATTTAAAAACAGTGTAAGAGTTGTAAAATCTATTAATTTCCATACTAGGTTTTTGTGGATCAATGATTATCCAAGGAGGAGATGATCACCCGATCCCCTTTACGCTGGATGACACCAAACCTGACGGTTCCTACCCAGCTATCATTGGGTGAGTAATGTGTGTTTTCCTGTTTGTGTATAAGGCGGTCTGGAAAATATTGGGTTTATTTTTTTTTATTTTAGCAATGATAAATGTATATTTTAACTACAATATTGTTAAACGTGACCGAGTGCTTTAACTTGTGGTAATACGAAAGGACATAATCTCTGCTTCAAAAAGTCACCGCCATGGGGGGTACCACAACCGTCGTTCTTTTTGGTTGATACGTTTACCAATCCCATCGCGATATCACTGGTTTGTATCTTAGAGAGTTTGGGCCCATACACACACAAAAATATGTTACAATAGATGTTTGGGCTTAGCTTTTCATATCTGTTTTCAAATAATATATTTTAATGTGTTTGAATTTATCAACGATGAAATATTACATTGGTGATATCTATACTAGCGACTGTGTATACTGTGATATCCATGTAGTTTTAATTAAGAAATTACGAACTAACTGTTTACTGGTTTAAGACAGTGTACGAAAGGATGGTAAAGACGTGTATTCAATGCTGTTGATGTCTTGTAGCGTTTTGTTTTTATTTTGGTATCATTACTCGGAAAATGGGGTATCTTAAGGATCATGTCTTATATAGAGTATCTGGTTCATGGAGTATCTTAAGGATCATGTCTTATATAGAGTATCTGGTTCATGGGGTATCTTAAGGATCATGTCTTATATAGAGTATCTGGTTCATGGGGTATCTTAAGGATCATGTCTTATATAGAGTATCTGGTTCATTTATTTAGGCAGCAGTCAAGTGTGGTGTTTGTTGTTTTTTTTACTTTCTTGTTTTATAACAATTTAAACAGCGTATATAATGTAAAGTAGCTGATTTATTTGCTTAGGTAACAGCCAAGTGTGGTGTTTGTTTTTTTACTTTCTTGTTATATAACAATTTAAACAGCGTATATAGTGTAAAGTAGCTGATTCATCTGCTCAAGCAACAGTCAAGTGTGGTCGTTTTTTACTTCTTGTTGTATAACAATTTAAACAGCGCATATAATGTATAGTAGCTGATTCATCTGCTTAGGTAACAGTCAGGTGTGATGTTTTTGTTTTTTTTACTTTCTTGTTTTACAACAATTTAAACAGCGTATATAATGTAAAGTAGCTGATTCATCTGCTTAGGTAACAGTCAGGTGTGGTGTTTTTTTTTACTTTTCTACTTTTATAAGCATCTACACATAAATCTTGCGTGGCCTATGTTTCATAACATTCTGTCATATCTACTTATAATGGTCCCTGCAAGTGCAGGCTAAATGTCCAGCATATTTCTGTTTATTTCTAAGTAAACTACTCTGCCTTTACGTTAGTAAATTTAATATATTTAAAGGCTTGTTATACAGGCACATATATAGATACAGTCACTAACCCTTGTGCCGAAATTTACACAAATATTGTTTGTTTTTTAAGGGTTGATGAATATAACATCAAAACACAAATATTATAACAGACAATATAACTATTCACAGCTTATTTGTATAACAAACAAATTTATTAAAATATACCTTTCTTCATTCCTTAATGCACTAATTTTTTACTTTCCCCTCCAAGCACATGTAGCCTTCTAGCGGGCAGACTGTGAGTTATGTGTATAAATGGGTGACAAGAAGGCTTAAAACATCTAATATGAAGTCAAAGTGAGTAGGCCCGGCATGGCCAGGTGGTTAGGGCGCAATCTGCGGGTCGCTTGTTCGAATCCCCGTCACACCAAGCATGCTCGCCCCTTTTAGCCGTGGGGGCGTTATAATGTTTCGATCAATCCCACCATTCGTTGATAAAAGAGTAGCCCAAGAGTTGGTGGTGGGTGGTGATGACTAGCTGCCTTCCCTCTAGTCTAAATTAGCGACGGCTAGCGCAGATAGTCCTCGTGTAGCTTTGCGCGAAATTCAAAACAAATCAAAACCAAACAAAGTGAGTAATTCAAATCAGGAGTTTCGTCAGCGTACTTTAACTTACTTCGGTAAATAGGACAATCAAAAATTACAATAGTGATGAAGTTGTTGTGAGCTATTTACAGAACAAGCGCAAAGCTACACAATAGGCCATCAATGATGTGGCCACCACGGGTATCGAAACTCGGTTTTTAGAGAAATACGCAGAACAGAGGTTAGAATTTTCACCATTAACTGGCGTAACATAAAACAATCATTGTCTCATTGCGTTGTCATAAATTGTCTTTTATCTCAAACCTCAGATAGTATTTTTCCTCTCTGATTGTCACACCCTTATATACCTGTACAAGGTATTGATTCATCTTGGTGAGCCAGTGTGTAACTCAGTACTTATAAGGATTTCTATTCAACATGTTGTTTTCTGTCGGCGTTATTTAAACAGTTCACTTATATATATAAACTATTGAAATGGTTTGAAATGTTTAAATTTAAAGTTAAATGTTTAAATTTATATATATATGTAAATTCATATATGTGTGTATATATATATATATATATGTATGTATAAAACGTGCCTCATGAGCATATTTCCCAAGAAGACTGTAATATATGAAATGTTACAGCTGTTTTTCTATCTGAAAAACAAACAAACACAAAATAAACTTATGTGTATGTAACACTTGTTCTTCCGCATTGAAGTAGACACGCATGTACGCAGATGGGGGGGGGGGGTTCAGACGAACCCCCTATTATTGTGATGTAAAAGAATTATGCTTATATATATTTTATGTGAACAGTCGTGCAATTGTGTAAGCTGTACTTCATGCAAAATTGCTTCCAGATTTAATCTCAAAGCACCTATTTTTTTGCAAAATTTCTGGGGGGGGCATGCCCTCAGACCCCCCGTAGCATTGGCACTAGATGATAACTAAATTGTTTGAGCTAAATCTGATCTCATTGTGAAAGTGGAAACCTAAAGATAAAACGGTTTATATAGTTGGACCTGGCGTGTAATCAACCTTCTTTAATGATGTTTTTTGATAACTATGATCATTTTAATGGATTTATAGGTTTAACAAGTTTATGGTTTTATTAACCACTTTTTACTTGACATTAAAAACAAGGAACTTCACATTCTCACCACTGTGGATTGCAGGTTTATCCTGGCAGACAAACTACGTCGATTAACCAAGCTAACTGGAGAAGAAAGAAAACAGTTGGTCTGTCAGAGCTTCGCCAAAGCCTTGGGCACGGATGAAGCGTTAAAAGTAGGAATCAACTAACTATCATTAACATTTCTTTAATATTTTCTTCTTGTGTAAAAGCCTAGTTTGATCAATGAATCTAAGTTTCAAATGGACAGCAACTGCCTGTTGTAGAGGGCGACGTTTCGAAAGTCTTCCGCATTTCCTCTTCACCCCTGTAACAGATAATAAGTCTTCGTCAGATTAACAGTAGAATTGGCAGTAATTTTCATCCATTTTTTACAAGTTAAGAAAATATAAAGTCACGTGCGGAGTCTTATCCTTAGACTTTTAGAATTGCTTTTATTTTTTTTAATCACTTGACTTGTTCATACATTAAATTCATACTTTATACTGCCATGTCATTCAAGCAACTGCCCATTTGAATACTTACTACATTTCATAAGTTGACATTAGTTAGAAAAAATTAAGTAATTTCCTTTATGAGTAAGTCCAGCATGTAATGAAATCTATACAATAGCAATAGTAAACAAATTCATTGCATAATATATAAACGTTTACTAGCTACATAAATTCAGCATTCTATATATAGCACTGTATAGGTCCGTAGGCGGAGAAACTAACTCACACGAAATATATTAGTGTTACTAGTTGTGCTTTCTATATTTAGAATAGACTTGTTATATTTGTGTAGAGAGTAGAACTTACGACCAGGAGTCAGTTTAATCCTGTACCACCAAGTCACCCTAAACTTTGTTAAAGTTAACCGGTCGTAGTGGTTATTATGGTTATTTTTGTTACATATTTAATTTTGTTATTAATTATCAGCGAAATTTTCATAGCTTACTTCAACATAGACTTCAGCTCTTTCACTGTTAACAAAAACGGTAAAGAATTAAATCCATTCAGCTTCCCGGAGACATTGAGCAGTTTTACTGTGTTGCCCTCTAGTGGTATAATTATCAAACAGCTATCCAAATTTAAAAAACAATTCGTGGATAACACAAAATGGAGTTATCAATATGTACTATTCTATTATGTAAAAATGTAGTGATCCACTATGGTGTTTATCGTTATATTTCACAAATTAGAACAGTGCACTGTGAACATAAAATAAAAGTCTCATTATTAGTCTCAAAGTGGGTTCCTCGTCATCGAACTCCCTTTGTTTTCTCTATGCATTAACTATAGAGCCAGAAGAACTTCGCAGTTATAAGATTGCCCTATAATTGGTCCAGCAAATCCACGAACACAAAATAATACATAAACATTAATATAATATTTCTTTAAAAAAAAACTAATTTTACAGTTGAGAGTTCATTGTAGTTATAGATTTAAAATCCCGAAGCTCAAGAGGAATCCAGTGGACTTACATATTCTGTTTCTTGTGTTTAGCCAGTCCATTATGAAGAATACAACTGGATGTCTGAACAGTACTCTGGAGGAGGATACACCGCCATGTATCCACCGGGGGCTCTTACCATGTATGGAAGGTAAAAAAAAATGGTTTTCATAAAATTATCAGCAATTATAAACTACGATGCTTTTTTTAATACACATATCAGTCTTTTTTATTTCTTTGTTAAACCCTTTTTTAATGTATGGGACAAATGGAACGGTTTTTACCACTGATGTGTGGATTCGTGGATTCTCACCTATTTACAAGGCTCCACACTCCGCTTACCACCGTTGGGGTACGATTTATTACAGACCTATTTCTGAATGGTCTTGGTGCCTCGAGTTGATTCATATTCTGTTGTTTTACAATGTAAGTAAGTTAAAGATATATATATATAGCCGTCTTGGAAATTCTAATTCTTCAACCTGTACACATCTTTATGACTTGAGTGTATGAATATCTCGAGTTGGAAATGGCTGTTACGTTCCCTTCCTAAAAGCGACCAGTTTTTGATGGCATCACACTACCCATGCAACGCTAAACCATGACAAAATGTAGTTCTGAAACAACCCGTTTCACTGTAATTTTATATTTTCTATGTTTGCCTCATGACTTTCTGATTTTCATATTGTACAATGTATTGAATCCTCTGTAAAACATACAGCAACACCATAAACATATTTATATATCTCATTATGAAAGATAAAGCTTGAACTTTTAGTACAAAATTCGAGGGGGGGGGTATTTTTGACAGTGTAATTATTTTAATAAAAACAGATAGTAGCTAGATCAAACGTTTTGTTGAAAAGAATGTTGGTGAATGGGACTACAAAGTGAGCTTGCCATGAAAAGAGGTTTAGGAAAATTATAATCATTATTGTATAGTTAGAAAATGTAAAATTCTCACAAACAGTGACTGTAACGATTTAATTATTTAAAAATGTACGTAGAAATAAAACGAGTTTGTATATAGTTTCATGTTCCTAAGTTAGAAATGACAGCCCTAATGGATGCATTTGATTTTGTGTGTTTGATTTGTTAAGCCATATACAACACTAGGTCTAAAGCTTTGTCTCATTTGTTGTGGTTGAATCTTGACAATTTTTTCTTTAATTTGGTGTGATCGTTAAGAATATGATGGATTTTAATAATGTAGTTATTTTTATTGTGTATGGCCAGGTGGTTAGGGGGCGCTCGACTCGCAATCTAAGGGTCGCGAGTTCGAATCCCCGTCACACCAAACATGCTCGTCCTTTCAGCCGTGGGGGCGTTATAATGTGGCGGTCAATCCCACTATTCGTTGGTAAAGAT